GGTTGACTCAGCCTTCCATCCTTCCGAGGTGGGTAAAATGAGGACCCAGATTGTTGTTGGGGGCAATATGCTGACTCTCTGTAAACCGCTTAGAGAGGCCTGAAAGGCCTATGAAGCGGTAGATAAGTCTACTGCTATTGCTACTGCTATTGCTAAACTTTATCAAAAAGTGCCAGAGAGTAAAAAATGAGCCGGTAATGAATGGGTGGACAAGGAGTGTCAGGGTTGTAAAAACCTGCCCAGATGGCCGGCAAGAGAGGTGGACGGAGGGCCGAAGAGCAACGCTACTTAGCGCAGGAGAGGAAGCGGGAGGTTCAAGAGCAGAGAAGATGCGGCTGAATGCAGTCACTAATTACCTCCTTTAAAACAGGAGGGAGGCAGGAAGGGAGGGGGGGGCAGACAAAGCGCCAGAGGGAGGGGAGGGGGGTTCCTTCCTTCTCCCCCTGGGCGGGGCAGGGGAAGGCCGGGAGGAGCTGGGCTCTGGCATCTCAAAGGGGCAACTCAATGCTCACTCATTTTTCTGTTCAGGTAACTAAGAACTGGGGCAGCCCCTCCCGTTCCCTTGAGGGGAGGGGGCTGCTACGGGAGAGAAAGGCTGAACTGCTTGGACTGCAGCAGGGGCCTCAAACTCCGACTCCCTGGGGGCCGCATCAGGGTTGCCTTTGACCTGGGGGGGGCAGGGGGGCCAGCTCTACCTCCCTCGTGTTGGGGGGGGGACCTGGGGTGGCTTGAGGGCTCTGCCAGTGGAAAAGCTCCGTTCTCACCCATGACGGCCTCCTGCAACCCTCGGCCAGCGGAAACAGCTCTTGGGGGGGGGGCTGCCCACAGCCCTGGCCAGCTCCGATTCCACTGGCAGAGTCACCGCCGGCCGGCCCTACCCCTGGACTAGATGATCTCAGAGGTCCCTTCCATTTCTGGGAAGCAGAGACTGGGTGGCTGAAGGTCAAGAAGCCCGCAGTGGCAGGTTCCTCTCCTACCAAGGGCTGGACTAGATACCTCTAAGGGACCCCCGAGGCCTGGGGAGGGTCCCAGACAAGCAGCCAGGGTGCTTTGGGGGATGCATCCTTTGCAAAATGCTCCTTGGCAGGAAAAGCGATTCAAGGCAGCCGCTCACTGGTTGAGTGTGGGGTGTGTGTGTGTGTGTGTGTTCCCCCCCCCCGCCCCTTGCCAGAGTGTGTGCCTGTCTCTGTGCGAAGGGCGAGAGGACGGACGTCTCCTTGCATCAACCGGCGGCTTCTCTGCCTGCAGAAGGAAGTGGCAGGCTAAGCGCACTCCGGGCGATGGGGGGGGGGGGCAGTTGTCGCTCAGGCTTTGCAGAGGGCAGCAGCTTCCCTGGACAGGCGGCAGCGGCTCCTCCGTGCCCAGCTCGGATCTTGCCAATTCACAACAGGAGCTTAGCCCACTGGAATTGGTGGCCCTGATGCCCACAATGCCCCCCCAGCCTTTCCCAGGAGAAGGCATCTGCCAGGGCTGCCAACCTGCTTTGCCCCATCGCTGCTTTGCTGCTGCCCGACTGCCATGAACCCGGGTGTGTGTGTGTGTGTGTGTGTGAGAAGGGAGCCAACAGGGTGTGTGTGGAGACCAGTAACCGAAACCCAGTGCCTGCCGAGGACATCGGCCGCTGACCCCCAAGGCCACAGGCACCGAGTGTGGACCACCACCCAGACCGACAAGCACCAAAGCAACATCTCTGAATCCAACTGGACACGCGGGGGGGGGGGAGAGGACCCCCCTCAGAAAGACCCCAGATCTGCCTCCTTCCCTGCTTGCGTAACCGCTGGGCTTTCATAAAACGAGGCCGTCTTCCTCAATGACCATCCAAGCCTGACCCGCGTCCAGGGCTGCCCCCAGGAAGCCTGCCTTGCCCCCCTGGCCCGCTCCCCCCGCCTACCCGGAGGAAAGGCACGATGCCGTCCCGCGAGATGGCCTGCAGCAGGCGAGGGGCCCCCGTGAGGCTCTGCAGTCCAGCCCCGCAGGTGGAGAAGAAGGAGCCAAAGACGATGACCCAGGGGGACGGCCAGGCCAGCGTGCCCACCACCAGGTTCCCGCTGACGGCCTCGCCGAACCTGGAAGGGCAAAAGGGCAGTGAAGGTGGGGCGCCCCTCAGGCTGAAGCTCCCTTTCTACGCCCCCCCC